AGAACTGTAATGCTGGATCTTTGCCTATGTGTTTTAATGAGTCCTCTTACCTCCATTTTTAAAAATCCTGGATTCACATGTGGCCAGTTTAAGGATTAGAAAAGCCACATAGCACTATGTGACACAATTGAAAGTAGCATTTCATGTGTGCTCAGGACTCAAACCTCAATAATTTTTTTAATTAAAGAAAAAACACACAAAGGCACTAATGTGGTAGATGCAAAATAAACTATGGAATTATTCTTCACTAAGCTCTGTTTTGGGGTCCCATAGCTGATATAGCCTATTGCACAAAAGCATTCTCGGGAGCTAAGAGATGCCCTGATTTAAATTCAAGGCAAAATGATGGAGAAAAATCACTGAGCTACGCAAAACATAAAGATGAGTATGGATCCAGAAAATGCACAAATGAGATTAGAGTTCCTCTTGCCCGTTCAAACTCTTTAAATCTTTCTAGAAATGGATCCTGATACTTCAATGACTGCATAAAACAGAAAACTTGGGATGGAGGCCACTGTGGAAAATGGAGGCAGCAAAGTTTAGGAAAATTCTTTTTGCTTCTGCTTGCACCTTGGATCCAAATCACACTCAGTTTATATACCTTGGGAGCAGTGTCCTAATATTAATGATTTATATGTAAATTCTTTGCATTCTAAGGCATGAACAAGCCAGAGAGAAAGACTTGATTAGGGAGAAGAGCTGCCTGCTCATATTGGTTATAACTTTATGAGACAAAAAAGGTGAAAGATTGAAGGGAAGAGATGAGGTAAGGCATAATCATTAATCCCACAGAGAGCCACATTATATTCTAGGAGGGGGGACCGTCTATGGAGACCCCATGTCTAAGAACTGAAAATTGCAACCATTAATCCCAGTTATGAACTGTTGGAGGCTTTGTTTTAAGAATGTTTCTTTTCAGAAAAAAAGATTGTGTTTAAAAATTTAGGGCAAAATTTTCCTCTATTATCCACACAGTAGCTCTGCTCCATATTCTCTTTTCATGTGCTCAGAACACCTACTTCCATGACAATGGGAATTGATGTAAGTGGGGAAGTCAGAAGATGGAGCTCCTGTTGATCTGAACACGGGAGTTTTCAGTGCACAGAGAAAACCAATAAAAGTTTCAGTATAGCTCAGAATGTGTTTTGCCCTTTATAGGACAAACAGTACATTTGAAACAGATGTTTTTTATCATTGTTCTTCTGGAAAGTGTACAATACTAGATAACTTCCTCAAATTTATTCTCTCTCTTTCTCATACATGCAAATTAAACAAATCCTTGTTCCCATACTACCTCCAGACTTCTTCATATGTTATATTTTCCTGTATTTTTTTAGCCTTTTTCTGATGTTGAAAGCTCCCTAGAATATGCTGTAGCTACTCATAGTTTGAAGGGGAAAAAACCCTAAGATTATAAATAATTTATATTGCAAATTTAATTCTGATTTGGGTATTGTTGGTTTTTTTTTGTCTTTCCTTTTCCATTCTTACAGAACAGTTACAAGTCCTTGACTTGCAAACATTTGTTTAGTAACCAACTGGAGTTCCAATGGCACTGAAAAAAGTGACCTATGACAGATCGTCACACTTATGAACATCACAGCGTCCCATGGTCATGTGATTGTGATTTGGGTACTTGGTGACAGTATGCATTTATGATGGTTGCAGCTTCCTGGGGGTCATGTGATTCCTGTTGCAATCTTCCCAGATGGCCTCTGACACACAAATTCTCAGTGAGAATTTTCTTAATGATCGTGTGATTCATTTAAAAACTGCAGTGATTTGCTTAATAACCATGGCAAAAAATGCTGCAAAATAGGGTGCAACTGACTTAATTGTCTTGCTTAACAATGGAACTTCTGATCTCAATTGTGGTCGTAAGTCAAGGACTACCTGTACTTCCTTTCATATACACATACTCAGACTAAAAACTTCAGTATAAAATATATTTAGGAGTAGAGATTCTTATAATCCAATGGACTGTATAATGAACATCTACCACATTCCCAAACTCCTAAGTGAATTTTACAAAGATACTTTCTCAATGAAATTAGTGGGACTGCTATATTTGCATAATTATATATTCAGGGTTTTTTTGGCTGTTTTATTTGTAGTCATATCAAGTTATGCCCGTTTCTGTGCACAAAATCCTTGAAACTATTGGATACATTTTACTGAAACAGTGGATCAAGAAAAATTCTTTCCAAAGAGCAGGACTGTTGTTCTTTTTAGTTGCCAGTTTTTGCTTCGTAGATACCATTTCATGACTTGAATTATATCCTTAAGGGGAAAAAAAAATCTTTACGGAAGAGGGAGGGAGGGAAGGGAGAAGAGGAGTTTCTAAGGAGGGAGAAATCCTACTAATTCACTACCTCATTACAGTCCCTAATGGAAAGTACAGTTGCATTCAATTTAAATGAGGCATTTTGAAGCTGAATGAAATGAATGCAATTGTTGCTCAAAAGCAGATTATAAATAAAGAAATATAAAGATTAAATGAAGATGTTATTGTTCAACAGATGGAGACAAGTATCACAGCAACATCTTTTTTCCTCTCTCCTTAATTCAAGACGGCAAACACTAGTAATCAATCATCACTGATTAACTAATTATGCTATACTAACATTTTGTAATTTGTAGGGAATTTAAAACTAAGCTCGGCTTTAGTTTCCCCTCCCTTTCTATAAAATGGACTACATTCCAGGACAGCTTCTGGTTGTAAAACAAATTTCTACATTACTAGCCTTTAAGCACTACTTTAAAACAAAACAAAACAAAACACCACCCCTTCCCCCTCAACCTAAAAGCAATTGGTTTCCAACAGGCTGGATAATAAGTCTTTTGACCTGCATTCTCCTCTGACCCATTAAGGTCACCTCTGTCCTTGGGCATAGAGCTGACTTAGGAAATGCCTGCAAGTCCTGCATTTCATCTCCTGCCCACTCAAAATAAAGCTTTCTTTAAATGTGTCTGCAGGGTCCCCAAAGACCAGGGAGGCCTCCCTGCAGTGGGCAATGGAGGGACAGAAGCTTCTGCCTTTATTAATGAATGCAGACCATTATGAGTCTGCCTGGCTCCTCGGCTGTTCCCAGAAGCATATACTGTACGTGACTTAAAATGCTAGAATATTGACACAAAGCGAGCCAGGCGACCCTAAGGAAAATTACTCCTTGGATATAATGTAGGCTCGTAACAGCTATTAGAGTACAAAATAAAACCCTCCGGGATCAAACTGACATATACAGCATTCTACCTACTCCTCAAACATTAGAAGAATTTCTTTGTGAAGGCATTCTCAAGGGCAGCATTAAACTGACTTTTGTAGCAATCTGCAACAGCTTTTTGGGCTTACAGCTTTTAGTACTAAATCTTTAGTTCAAATCAATATAAGTACTATATCCTCTACATTAATCAATACATTTGGTTCAATGCACATTCTATTAAATTATACTTTCTAATCAAGAGGCTCTGCTTCTATCCCCACGTAGCTCCCTCCCTCCCTTCAAACTTCTTATTTTCAATTTGTCCTCAGAGAGTGTCAGGATGCTGGGTTTTCTTGGCAGAGAGGTAGGGGGCAAAGGAAAAATGGGCAAAACCAGCAAAACCTTAATTAAAACCCTAATGCCAAACAGAGAATTGCATTCCAATGTCATTATGGATTCCACAATTTCCACTGCAATAGTTTCTGTTTCTGGCTTGTTGGGAAGGTGGGGAAAACATTCAAGACCACAGGAACAAAGTTCTGCTGCATCGTTGATGCACAAAATGAAAAGGGAAAAGATTTTTGGCTAAACAAAGGAATGAAGGAGGAGAAAAGGAGCACTCATATTTACAGGCTACTAAAGAACAACCAACACATTTATAAAACAAAGTTTTTTAAGCTGCTGCTAACGCAGTGGTTAGTCTTGCTGCAGTTATTCATGCCCTGATAAACTCCTGCTTGGATTTCTGCAGTTCTTTCTTTATATGTGCTTCTGTCTCTTAAAATGCTCTACCAATGCTAGTTGCTTCAGAATAGTTTTAGTTGCAATAGTTTTTAAGAGAACAATGAGATGATCAAATTACCTAACATGTGGTCTTTTCCCCTGTCTTTATAATCAAAAAATCTTTGAAGGGGCTGTAGCAAGCAAGACAAACTTGATTAAAGGTCTTCTAGTGTACAATGCTGTCTTTACAATGGGTTGCCTAGTATTTATTTAATATAGCAATAGCATTTCAGACTTATATACCACCCCATAGCATTTTACAGTACTCTCTGGGCACTTTACATTGTCAGCATTATTTGCATATTGTCCCAACAATCTGTGTCCTCATTTTACCAACCTTGAAAGAATGCAAGGCTGAATCAACTTTGAGCCCCATCAGGATCAAACTCCAAGCTGTGGGAGAGTTTGCCTGCAATACTGCATTTAACCACTGGGCATGTCCTAGAATTACTGTGATTAGATAAATTACAATATTGCATCATGCTCTTACAGAGGAGCATGAAACCATTTGAAATGATACACCATGGATCTTCCCAGCTGCCTCGATACAAGTTTACAGCTCTTGAAATTGGACAAATTTGTTGGACCACCTGCTTCTCAAGATAAGTGCCCATCCAGATGCTCTGACAGGGAGGGAATACCCTTGATGTTTTCATTAAAAAAAATACCATCTTATGTGATTCTGGTTGGGTACCTTCTTGGTGGTGGCCCCTGTTGTTTGGAACAATGTCCCCCCCCCCAAATACATTTAGCCCATCCCTGCAGATATTAGGGAGGTGGCTAAAACCTTGCTCTTTCCCTTGGGGTCAAGTTGCACTAAGCTCCTAGTTGAAGGTTCCCCACTTTCTATAAAATATTTTGGTTCTGAAAATCATTTTATTTAGATGTCTATGGAGATTCTCAGTCATCCAGGTCATAGTTATCCCAAAGATGCTTTTTCAGGAGGCAATTGGACTTTTTTGTTTGTCTTTGAAGATGTTTCGCTTCTCATCCAAGAAGCTTCTTCAGCTCTGATCCTTCCATTCCCCACCATCCGGTAAGAGCTGAAGAAGCTTCTTGGATGAGAAGCGAAATGTCTTCAAAGACAAACAAGAAAGTCCAGTTGCTTCCTGAAAAAGCACATTTCCTTTAGAATGTTTTATGATACATATTGTTTAATATTAATGGTTTTTCTTTTCTTTGTGAGTCACCACATGTGTGTATTGAGGTGGAGGAATGGAGGAAGATGGTTAAGGTGATGAGGTGGAACTAGCAGCAGGCCACCTAGCATACATACAGTACTTTAGTCATATGGGAACCATGAGGAAAAGACAAGGAAGACAGCTACATCCAAGTATGGCCAAAGGGTAAAACAGGTTCTGAAGAGCCAGTTCAATAGGAAGAATAAGATCCATAATGCTATCAATATGTATCCCCTGCCAATCATCTGATACCCTGCTGATATAGTGATCTAGCCAAAGAAAGACATGGAGGCTGCCAGTTTGAAGGCCCAGAAGCTCTTCACAATGTACAAAGCTTTCCAGCCCAAATGCAACACCCTGAGACTGCACACCAGCTAGAAAAAGGCAGGAAGGGCCTGAGTGTCAAAATCACTGTCCTGGATGAAACCCAAAGCATCCAAGACTACATAAATTATATGGCACCCAAAGATAAACAGCTGAGAGAATGCCTGATGCAACAGCAGACAAGGGAGGAAGATCAAATAGAGGAAGTCCCATTGCAAGATAAGAACTGCATGAGAAATACCATTGATAGATAATTCAGATGGCCGACACTGGGAACTCTCACCCATGGCTGGAAAGGGCTGGACTAAAGGATAGTACTGAGGCACTGATCACAGCAGCACCAGATCCATAGAAGCAGGGGTCTACCATACGAAACAGGAACTGAAGTGCAGACTGTGCAAAGAAGCCACAGAGACAGTCCAACATAAAGAGGTAGGATGTAAGGTGTGGGCAGGAACAGCATACACTGAATAACACAGCCAAGTAGTTGGCATTGTTTACAAGAACATCCACAGAATGGATGGGAGATTCCACAAGTCATGAAGGCTAAAATCTTGTGGGGCTTCCAGATCCAGACGGACAGCAAGTACTGGTCAATCAACCAGATATCATGGTAGTGGACAAGGACCAGAAGACAGTGACAGTGATAGATATAACGGTGCCAAATGACAGCAACATCAGAAAGGAGGAGTATGGAACAAGAAAGGATGAAGAAAAGAAAGCCAAAGTGGTCCTAGTAACAGTAGAAACACTTGGGGCTCAGATTCCTAAACTGGGAAAGTGGCTCCACCATATCCCAGAAGCAACAAGAGAGCTCTCTGTCAAGAAGATTCCAGTGCTAGGAACAGCAAGATACTGTGCAGGACCGTTAAACTCCCAGTTCTCTGATATAGATTGAAAAAGACACATATCACCCATAAAGGTGAGAAGGGATTTTTTAAATGGGTAGTATGCTAGTTCAAATAACACCTAGGTCTATCCCATGGATGTGTCTTATGAACAGAGTAAAATGGAAATAGTCATCTCTATATTGTGAGACTATTTCTCTCTGCTATGTTTCAAGTAGTATATTATGCTACTTATTAAAAGCTCACTGACACTATGGTTTGCCACCAAGAAAGAACAGAAGTTTCCTTCCAGTTCCAGTTCCAACTCATTTTCCAATTCACCTGATACTTTGTAACAGTACTTTTATAAATGCGATGAAATAAAGGCTTGATAAATTCAAGGAATGTGAAATTAGTCAATCAGTCAATCCCTTCCCTCAGATTTTTTTCTGTATGCATGCTATTCTGCTAGGTGTCAAATGCCTGAATTTTTTCAAACAAGTTGAGAAAATTTGAAAGAAGCTTCTATGTTCCTTTGTTGCAGCTCCAGTACAGCAGAATGATATGGGCATTGATAGACAAGACCACCTAATCAAATATTCAAGGATTAAGTCAGTGCATTATGGACAGATGTGTTCATGTGCCAGTTGTTGCTATGCTTTCATTTTTTCCCTTGTTATGTTTAATTTATTGTGCTGGAGCTTTTTAAACAAGAACATCTGTAAACAAGTTTAAGTACAACCTCTCTCATTTTACATCTGTATGCTTTGCTCTTTCTCAATGCTTTAACTGTAGATATTTTCATAAGAAATACATCTGTAGCAGTAAGAAAAAGATAAACCAGGAAATCTGATAGGCTGTATAGTGTTTATAATTTACATAAATAAGCATTCTCTACTTGCTTAAGTGGGAGCACAGAACTGAAACAAAATCTGTGGCAATGCACATATTTCTTTATAGGTCAAAGCCAATTAAATAAACTACAGCTAAATATTTAACAGCTCTGCTTAGTAATTAGTGGCAAATAATGGGAGCTTAAATTGATAATCACACAGGTGTTTTTAAAACTAAGCCAACTATAATGTCATATCCATTTAACAAGCTTTGTATTTCTGTATGTAGCATCACAAGGTATATTTAAGGAATTTTCCTCTAAAGGTACAATGTAGTCATTGATATCTAAGGCAGGATCATATTTAATTATTTTGCTGTGGGATAGAGGAATGAAGTATGTGAATATCAGAACCTGAATAATTTAAGATTTCAGAAGGTCACTTAGATTGCAATGTTTCAGCCACTGGCTTGGCAAGTAAAGACTGGGTGATAATTAAAATGGAGATAAACCACTAATCTGTGACATTAGGATTAAAAACAACAGTGGACCTCCCTTAAAACAATCTGGTTCAAAATATGTCAGACATATATATTTATGTAATGCAAGGGAATCACTTCTGTAACAAAAAATATATGTCTCAAGCTATTCCACTTCTTACAAAAATGGTATGTATATGGTGGATTTACTTCTTTTGTTTGACTTACTATTTGTGATAATGTGACAGAGCAAGCTGCTGAGTCACTCTACTTGAACTGTGTGAAAATAAAGATACCTCAAAGAAGGGGTCTGGATTAGATATTTTACAAACTTTTTTTCATGACAAAGCCCATCATTTCTTTGCATACTTAATCACTCTTGAATGAAAAGATGAGATAAAATGAAAACTATCAATGAAGAAAGTAGATTTATAGTTACTAGTTATTATTCTGCAAAATACATGACCTGCAAATAAAAGAAAATATATGGTTATTGAGTTGCAGAAGGAAGATATAAAATTCTGTCTTATATTTTCAAAACAGTAAAGTGTATGATTAATAATTTGAACCTAGGTCTACATCTGTTTGCTGATGATCTATATTAATTCTTTTCTATATAGCTGAAACCTATGTTTCCAAAAAACTCGGATTTGATAAATCAACATTATATTCATAATATAATGAAAACATCTTATTTCCATGATTCCAGATAGGATGGTTAAGAGTAGCCTATTATTATTATTAGCACATATTCTCTAATGGCCCTCATAATCTGGAGTATGTTTCCCTCAGAGATACTTACAGCATCCTTCCTTCTTGTATTCTACAGAGGAGTTAAAATACTTTTATTCCATTGTGTTTTCAGCCTTGATTGATTGTGGGCATTCCAACTTCATAGGTATATGTTTTGTTTTAATTTATTATTTCTGATTTTTCTAAATACTTTCCTGCCACCAAGTGCCATGTTGGAGTTGTCTACAAATGTTAGTAAACACTGAAGGGCTTCATAATGCCTGGCATATTAGGCACAATGCTGCATACGTTCTGTATGGCATTGTTTCTAGAGTTCCTGGAGGATCCTTCTTTTTTCTCTCTCTCTCCATGTTTTTGATATTTATGAGCCCTCTGCTGTCACTATCCTCCCAATCATGCCCTTCCTATGACATCGTCTATAATTCTCAGTGAGAACTAATGACTCAGTTGAATTGCCTCTTTCACCTTATTCAGACTTTAGACTGTTTGTGCTACAACCTGACCATGTATCCACATCCAGTGGGAATCATTGCCTATTGCCTAGCTTTTCTTTTCCTCCCATCAATCTGACAGGATTTCTGATATTTCTGCATGTTTCAGGAGCAAGAGAGCTAAGGAGGTGCAGAAATGAAGGAGCTACTTACTGCAGATAAGGTGCTTTCTTGAATTTTTTTTTTAAACACACAGCTTGATCTTTGAATGGGACAGTTACAATAACTACACAGGTTGCAAGAAGGCCTCCTTCAGATACTCCAAACAGATAGATTTCCTAACTCTGGAAAACATATTGACCTACAATTAGAAAATTCTGGATCACATTATTATCTTTGGGTTCAAAGATATTTATATTAGGCTTTGAAAATGGTTCATTTTCAAGTTATCAAGATGCCCCCTTTTAAGACCTGTTTACTCACTTTCCTCAAATATAAACGCAGAGAGAAAAAACAACAGCTATTAGCTGTGGTATTTTTCATCTAGTATCACTTTATGTCTTTATTGCAATTTTGATGGTAAACCTGTAGTATTATCATTCTTGGATATTTTGCATTAGGTGTAATCACTTAAACTTGTGCATAAGAGAAGTAACTGCTACCAGAGCAATATACTGGAATTTTAGTTATTGTATTTAGTCATGGCTGTCTGTTCAAAGGGTAAAGATAAACACAGGAACAGTTTGTTCCTGATTTTGTGGTAAAAACTATTATCATATTTCCCTCTTCAAGTAATTGTAAGTATCTTTTATTTTCTTGAGTTATTCAATCTTCTAAAAGTAATTGATACATCTGATGATTAGAAGTCCATGATCACTACAGCCATCTGCCAAACCACTGGAATTCACAATATGTAGAGACTTTATCCGTTCAATGCACAGAAGCATTATAGTGTTATCCATTTTATAGAACAGAAAGGAAAGAAATTCTCCTACATAACTCACTGCTCACCTGACATTAAATGATCTGGCACTTCAAAAGTTAATCTATGCTGGCCAGAAAGAGATTGACTTTTCTCAGTTTTGAAATACAGCACTTTTAATCCTGGGCTATTGGTACCAGATACTCGCCAACTCCTCACCACACCATCAAAAAAGGTGTGTGTGTGTGTGTGTATGACAATTTTAAGGATTTCATGTCCCTGCTAAAAGCAATCCCTAAAAGTCTTGGATTGAATCCTGGAAAACTCTAGTGCCAGATAAACAATTTAAGGAGGAAATATAACTGACCAATCCATACCCTAATAATCACAAGTTGCCTGTATTAGCTGCTATAAACAAGCAAATACAGTAATGCTGCTAAGTGTAATAGGGCAGGCAATGGAAAGTCTGCTTTTTAATCAGATCTCAAAGGAATCTGTCATATTGAAGTGGCACTTATTCTAATTTAAAGCTCTTATGATTACTTTTATCTTTGAGAAGTGTATAAACTAACAACTTTGTTAAAAAGACAAGACTCTCAAAGTGTGTATGCACAAAAAACAGGTTTGAGCTTAAAGTGGAGGGGGGAGTCATTTTCCTTTCAACATATTTTTTCTAACAATGAAAGGAAACATGTGTTTTGGATTGTGATGAAGTCCCTGAAGTTCAATAATATTACTACCTTAGATCTTCATAATCAGCAAGAACTGTACAGTCATATTATCATGTTTAAGTCCTATTGTCATTGTAATTTCTGTTCAGCTTCTTGAAAAACCTTACGTAGCTCTTTTCAGGTTATGTTTGCCACAGCTAAACATTATTGTGGTTCTCTTTCTATTTTCAATTTCTCTGCATTCTTTATTATTCTAACTTTCATAATATTTGTATGCATACATGGAAAATACTGAATAAGACCAACTTTATCTGAAATATCTAACCTTTTTAAGACCACCAATCAACTTCTCACTTTTCTCAGGGCTTCTATTACAAATGGCTTCTATTCCTCCCAAAATGTTTGAAAGAGCATTTGAAGTTCAGGGCAGTGGTAGAAACCAAATTAAACATTAACTATTTCTTTAAATAAGTGTCTGTAATCTGGAATGTTGTCTTTGGGATTTGAAAACCAGCAGATCCATACCATTTCCCCCCTTCATGCTAGAAATGATTCTATTTTCACTAATGATGAGTTAAATCTTTAACACACAATTTACTGCATGTTGTCTAGTCCTTAGTACATGGATTATTCATGCACGTAGCCAAAAATAATAGAGAGAGAAGCTACATATAGGGGAATAGGGGAAAGGGGCACTGGATATGCAGAGAGAAGGATGATGTTGGTCAGCTATGAGGAAGAAATACTGAACAATATTAAGATCCTCTGCATAAAATAAAAGTCACTCTCGCTTAATGTAAGAATTTGAGACAAGTGAGAGTAAGAGGTCTAGATAAATTTGATCAAAGGCTATAGCCAGATAAGTGTTGTTATATACCTTTTCCATTATGGTAGATAAAAACAAGTCAAAATACAGAATGAGAAGGCTGTATTGTGTTTGGTACTGAATGTGACATCCTGCCATGTTCTTATTATTTATGCTTCTTAAAATCTGGTAAGACCCATATTGTACCTTATCACACAAAAGATAACAATGAAAGTGAGTCAACTATATACTGCATGCACATTGAGCTGAAAGAAAGTTTGCATTCTCCTTAAAGACAGTGTACTTTACAGATGTTTTCTTTTTTAAAAAGATTGAGTACAGTGATCTGAGTTACAATGCTATGTAGTAGAAAATAATTTTATGCTGACCAGATAGTACGTCCCTTCAAATGCACTTTGTATGGTGTGAGGAAGCCCAATAGTGAGCAATATGTAGCAATTCTCCTCCTCTACAGCAGCTTGTCTGTGAAACTTGGATGGCCCAACCTCATGACCTTTCAAAAGCAGGTGAAAACATGGCTCATCTGGAGGACCTTTGGGCATTCATTATACATAGCAACACCGTCATTTATAATTTTTTGGTTTCCTATTCTTAATTACTATTTCAATTATTTTATTCTGATTTTGAATATTGTTTTTTTTAAATATTCTCTAAGAGACCTGGTATCCAGTTGGTTTCATGTGAATAAATTTAATATATATTTATTAAAAGTCACACTTCTAAGACTATAAAATGTCCATTGGAATCAAAATATATGTCATAAAATTGCAAATGATTATAGATGCATAACAATTTATACTGATTGGGACTGATAGCTGAAGTCATAAAGATTTTGAAAGTCTGAATCCCTAAACTGATATATGTAAAAAATAGTCCTATGTTAAAAAAAAAAACCTATCAACTGGGTTCCATTCTGCTAATTAAATGTTTCATGTAACGTCTGTCGCCCCTGCCTATTTGTAGGACAATGTTCTTGAGACCTCACTTCAAGGTCACTTCACCAAAAAGGATGGTTGAATCAAAAAGGTAGCCTTTTGTCTCTGCTAAAATATTGCATGAAAAGCAACTGTAGGATTTCCATTGTTTTCATTTAACTCAGTAATTTGTTTTTTGTTTGTTGATTATACAGGGGTTTTTTGCTGCTCCTTTTGGGCTACTGTTCATTATTATTACTTAAACATGGGATCCCTTTGGATGAAAGCGACTTTGCCACTTGTAAAAAGCAGCCAGTTAACTTTCTATAAAGTTTTATTTAGATGATGGAAGAACAATTGGAAGGCCTTATATGAAACCTGCAACTCCATTCCCATGTATATTAGTCATATCATATCCACCCGACTTATCTATATCATAGCCAAATATGTGGGGTGACCCACTGCATCTCAGTTACCCCAGCAGAGTTGATCCTCTGCAACTCCTCTGTTTGGTGCTTCTTGTTGAAAAAAGATTTTGGCATGTCATATTCCTTAATCTGCTCTACTTCTTCCGCCTTCTCCTACTCTCTATCTCCAATTGCCCATACTGTGTAATAGATAGTTCAAGGGATATGCAGAGCTTGTTTTCTCACTGCTGAGAGTAAAGGTGGAAGGGAAAGACAGATTTTGTTTTTGGAAGCATTCCTGTGAAGTCTCTTTCGTGAATGCATGTGCTTGAAGACAGCCCAATGAAGTGAAGGAACGGAGATACTAAACAATGCCATATAAAGTTGCCGACTGTTCGGCTACGAGCCAGAAAATGAATCCAATTTTTCATTCTGTCATTATAAATATTTCAGTACAAATGGTACTTATTTTCTGCAACTGTGGTTAAACAGAGGGCCTCTTGAGTGAATATTAAAAAAAAAAGTAAAATAAAACAAAGAAAAAGAGTGAAAAACAAGGGGGATACAGGAAAAGAAATTAATGTTAGCAAACCAATTAATTTCTTCCTTTAAATGTATCAGACATTGGGAGATACTGCACTATAATGTAGCCCATGACTCAAAAAAGATGGGAAGAAAAAAAAAAAACATTTACCCTGCTCTTCTTCTGACAGTTTCTCATAAAATATCTGCAGTCCATCTATCTTTTAGTACTCCAGGCTCCTCTGGAGAGCAGAAAATAGTAGTTTAAAGCTCACTTCTGTGCCAGACTGCAGGAGATTGCTTTCCACAGGACCCCTGCTGATGGAGGCCTAGGGGAAGAGGCCCAGGAGTTATTCAATCAGCCTAGGACTCTGGGGCGGCTGGGGGTCCTTTGAGGGCTGATTATAAAGCTGCCCTCCTGTTGCCTGCCTCAGAACAGAATGAAATGAGCAGCCTCGTGCTGAGCAGATCCTGCAAGAAGGAATTTCACCTGTCATGGAGTTTGTCAGAATTTCAGGATTTATCTTGGTGCAAAATTAATAAAATACCAGGTCAGATTTCAACCTGGTTACTCGGCCATATCATCTCAAAGTGATATTTCACCTAAGAAAACCTGTACACCGAACTGCTCAAGTCGCTCTTGCCATATGTATTTTAAAGACGTGGAAGCTTTAGTATGATACTCCTCTCATTAGACCGGGTGAGAGGATGAAAAAGCCCAGCCCAGTCTAATATTTGCAGTGCAATATAAGGTTTCCTAGGAACAGATGAAAAGCAAGGGCTGGGGTGGGCATAAAACTTAAAAAGTCTCTTGGAAGTTTCATATTTTCTTAATCAGATTCATGGAAAAGCAAAACTGCAACATGCAAGGCAGGTAACTCTGCTCCTTAAAACAAACAAACAAACAAATCCCCCCCCCCCAATGAATGCTTCAGTGGCACAGAACACAATCTGGGATTTTTAAAAGATCCATCAAAGAAAAACAGTTTAAGAATAGTAGAGTGTAGCTTATAGGGTAAAATCACTGCACTCTCCAATGGTGCTAATACCTTTTCCAAAATTGTATTATATTATGCACAGGG